TATTTTTTACATGAAATAAAAAGAAGAGCTGCCTATAAGACAAGGAGAATTGGCTTTTTTGTACATGTAATTTGCTACAAAAACCTAATTCTAACTAATACTACTGTGTTTACGACCAATTTACAACACCCATTTCACACCAGTTAAAAAACTGTCAGTGACATATTACTGGCAGCAAACCAGCCTAAAGTTTTTGTCTTGAATGGGTTTCTCAATTTTTGTTATATAATTGTTCAAATTCAAGAGATGAAAAAAAAAACTTTTATGTCTATTGACCATGTTCTTAAGGTTGTCTTGACGTAACACCAATGTTGGTACCGAGTTACTTCTCACTTCTTGTCACCCTGCATTCGGATACTCTGGTCCACTGCATTACACATAGGACTTAAAATAACTATGCCCAAAATGTGCCTCATAGGTAAAATGTTACCCTGTTTACAAATTAAAGCCAATTGAGACTGGTTGGTTGTTTCAATCAATAAGCGTGCGAACTGGTTGGCCAGGTGGGATATCGTCGGTGCTTGATTTTAAACAGAGCCTCGTGATAGTCTGATTTAATGCAATGACAGCGTGCGATGTTGTTGACGTGACAGCGACATGTGCAATCAGGGGAACATAAAAACTTCTTCAAATCATCTGAAAGAAACAAACCAAACCAAATACCAAAACCGAAATAAACTTAAAGCATGGGCAAAAGAAAGGAAATAAAAATATATATACAGTAATAAGAGAAATAAAAAGACAAAACAAGAGCTTTAAGGTTTTAAGTAAATGTGTGAAATTTTTTGTAACAGCACTGGTCGAAAAAAAAACTTTTTTGGTATGTTAAATTCAAACACCAAATGTTTAAGATTAAAGGGAAATTAGAACCATCAAAATTTCTGTCTAAAAGGTATTCTTTTGTCTTAGGATTATACCAGCAAGAACATTTTACAAATAACATGAATTGCAAATGCAACATTACAAGATGCCCAACAGCCCAAGCAGTATTTCTATACATCTAATGAATACATACTAATATAAATAATAAAACAAACAATAAGTAAATAAGTTAAATAAGTAAATAAATAGATAAGACAAAGAAATTTTCCAAGCCAAATAAAATATCATATTTGTCAATCATGTTTAATGCACCATCATACATAACTGATTCAACTTTTAAATGACTGTTTATTCTAAATACAGCACGACAGCACAGTATACACATCATACCACAATTATCAACAGTCTTTAATTTTTACATAAACTGATCATAGAGTCAAAGAACAAATAACTGGACAAGTACCAGTGGAATCCAGTATTGTGATCTAAAAAAAGATCCAAATAAAATTGCATTTAAAAAAGAAAACAAATATTAATTTATCTCAACTTAAAATTTTAATACAANATTTTCACATTAAAAAAAAAAAAAAAAAAAAAAAAAAAAATTATCTTTTGGCATGTTAAATTCAAACACAAAATGTTTATGATTAAAGGGAAATTAGAAACATCAAAATTTCTGTCTAAAAGGTATTCTTTTGTCTTAGGATTATACCAGCAAGAACATTTTACAAATAACATGAATTGCAAATGCCACATTACAAGATGCCCAACAGCCCAAGCAGTATTTCTATACATCTAATGAATACATACTAATATAAATAATAAAACAAACAATAAGTAAATAAGTTAAATAAGTAAATAAATAGATAAGACAAAGAAATTTTCCAAGCCAAATAAAATATTATATTTGTCAATCATGTTTAATGCACCATCATACATAACTGATTCAACTTTTAAATGACTGTTTATTCTAAATACAGCACTACAGCACAGTATACACATCATACCACAATTATCAACAGTCTTTAATTTTTACATAAACTGATCATAGAGTCAAAGAACAAATAACTGGACAAGTACCAGTGGAATCCAGTATTGTGATCTAAAAAAAGATCCAAATAAAATTGCATTTAAAAAAGAAAACAAATATTAATTTATCTCAACTTAAAATTTTAATACAAAGTACTCAACAACTTTGTTGTCATCTCTTTAAAAAAATCTCTTAAGAGGGTTCGGTACGTTAGGACTTTTGTTCTTATCCACTTGTCATATTATGATTTTCATCCAGACGAATTTGGTTATTTTAGCTGATGATGTAACAGCAGCATTTTTTCAGGTAAAAACAGATCTCCCTCACCTGAACATCTATCAACAGCATTTTTAGAACTATTCAATAACAACAATGATTTAAACAATCATGCCAGGAAATTTACTTAAAATAATACCATTATTTAATGGAATATTGTAATTCAGGCTCTTATCTCCTGAATGAAAATATTTCAAACCAAACTGGCACTGGATTGTACATCACACCCTAGTCAACAACCATGCCAATTTTCATGATAATTACTTATTTAGTTACAGAGTTACACCGAGTTACATGTACCGAACACTCTCATAACAGTGTACAAAGCAGCAACATTGACAATTAAAATTAAACAACCATGTGCAACGGGTGAATAAAGCACCAGAAAAGGGAGTTTGTGTTCTGATAGGTGTTGATTTTTAATGTGCTTATATTAAGATAAGTATTTTACATAAAGAAACGGGAAAAAAGGCTTCTTTGCCAAATATAGGCATTATAACGTATCGAACCCTTTTAAACTTTGCATTTAAAGAAGAAGAATGAGCCAAAAACGAAGTAAAATTATCATTTATCTGTTCCTCTTTTTGGTCCTTAAAGCTTCTACATATCAGGACCAAGATTACTTCATTGCTGTGTACATACACTGTAGCAGGAAAGCCCAACCAAACACAAAACAAAAGACTATTGTATTCAAAGTAACATTACAATATAACATACCACATTTGTATCTACATATCTATATTAAAACTCAACACAATTTGAGTAAAATAGTTTCCAAGAAATTCAACTGACAGGATCACTGCCAGACATTTGACATAATCTATTAACATTAAAAAATATTAAACGTGAATAACAAGATGACAACATCAATGGTACATTTGGCATAGAGCAAGTTAGAGGGAATACATATCTAGCGATGCAAAATCATCACTTCTAGGAATAAAATGAAGATAAATATTACAGTACATCAGATATGTATTATATGTGAGTGAAGAAAAATGACTGTTTGGATTCTCAGGAAAAATAATTACAATTAAATGTAATGTCACAAATATGTCTCAATAACTTTGTATATAAAGTACAGGGAAACTAACAAAAGAAATAAAGAACAAATAAAGAGATAAGCAGTCTCCCTTAAAAATTAATGTACAAGGGTATCTTGTACATGCCGGTTGTTCAAAACAAGGAATTAGATAATTGCTCTATCTAATTCTTTGTTCAAAGTAAGCAGGAAGAAACAGTTAGTAATAGGTATGGCTTTTATATAACAACATACAAACAGTTCAGTTTTGCTTAATCAACACCTTTATTTCATTTTGCTGAGGGTTACAAGACAAACACATATTACTATACAATATCTATAGCAACTACTTTCTACCAATAGCAGCAGATACATCCAACTCTCCTTAATTACTGTAAAAATCATGTATAATATATTTTAATATTTATATATCCATACACAGTATAAAACCCACACAAAAAGCCAAAACTGTTTTCTGCTTATGAAATAAGTAAAAGATATAGCATATAACCCTGAAACCTGCCACAACAAATAATGATCATCAAAACAAACAAAAATATAAGCAGCCTCCCTCAAAACAAAACCAAATTGTATCAACAAAATAAAAATCTCAAATCCTATAATCAAACTTGATTTTGGCATCCTGCAGCACTCAAATGCTGGTTTCAGAAAGCAGTTATATTGAAAAGCTGACACACGTGGTGGGTTGGGGGTGGGGGGGTGGATTGTCCTAAAAGACATAAATGTCAGAACGCCAGAACAGGATTGGCAAGAAACTGGTGAATCTTCTGATATTAATGCTTTCTGGCTGGTGGAAGATTTGCTCACAGGGCTTCTCCAAGCAAGCTCAATATTAAGGACCAAAACTATAACACTGATTAATAACCAAGTGGCACTAAGGAGCACCTTTGTAACAGTGACGTTGTGCTGGTTAACTATCTGGGGTACAGCCAAAGGGTGGCAGCCAATCAAATGGTGTGTACTAACCAGACTATTCCATGCCTTTTGGAATGAGTGATTATATCTCATTGAATCAACAGTGTATCAACTCCAACAAGTGTGTGCATGCGCACACTATGTGTGTGCATGTGTGTGTGTGTGTATGTGTGATTGTGTATGTGTATGTGTATATACGTGTGTGTGTCTGTGTGTGTTTGTGATTGCATGTGCACATGGACATGTGCGTGATCTGTGGAACAACTTTCTGTTCGCTATTATATTTTTATCAGGAATGTTCACAAACTGACAAATTTTCTGACAAAAAACTTTGAATAGCCAGACTTCAAATCTAATATATTAATCCAATAAAACAACTTGACTTTGATTTGGTAATGAATTGAAAAGATTGTACAGTAACATATCTGATTAGTCATATTGGGTTGACTGTTTTAAAGTATAAAATGACATATCCCTGTACTTTTAATTTTTTTTTTTTTGAAGTTAGCTTTTACATTTTAAAAGTACATGTAACATAAAACAATTGCCCTATATTCTTCAACAGTTCTTTTGTTGAAAAATTAAGATTAAGACATGCATTCATTCTAATGATGATATATGATACAATATAGGAAATGTGCAGCAAGCTTTCTGTGTAATATAGCCCCTAACAAAATTAAGTCATTTCCATTGTTTTCTTCAATAAACAGTAAACCTGTCTTCAAACAAGCAATATCCACTGATACTGAATTTTTATAATTAAAGCATTTTTAACAGAATTTTTCAATAAATTTTATTCTTCAGTTGTTTGATGCCTTTGCACATTCCCTACATGATGAAAAGGACACAGAAAAATCAAACTTTGTGTATCCTCGATAGTTCAAAACAATTTCTGAAACAATCAAAAGAACTTACTTGATGAGGGACTAGTCCTGCCGGTGGACATGGCTGAGTTGCTGCGTGAGTAAATGTGTTGTCCAGAGGGTGAGTGCTGCATCATGCATGAGCTGTCGCCACAAATGTGGCCCTTGTTTTTGGGAAGATTGCCTGCACACTTCAACAGACTGTAAACAGGGTCGATCTCGTGGTTTGCTGGCAATGAAAAGTAATTAGATTTCTACAGTTTTCAGAAGTTTACTGGTCATTCCAATATTTTGTTAAGTGAGGTTGCAAAAAAAAAAAAAAAAAAAGTGCAACAATCTGAATCAGACAGTCTATTTTTCTTTCAAATTATGCCTATAGGCAACAAAATTAAATGGTATTTATAAATATAGGGAGTTACCTCCACAGTAAACATATCATTAAGTAATGAAAATGATTGGCATAACTTCTAAAACTACTTGCAAATACCAAGAGGGCTGCTTGAATAATCAAGATTGAATTAAAATTGATAAATAAAAAGAATGAGAGTTGTTTTTTTCTTCTGACTGTCAGTAATTAAAAAAAATGGTGTAATGCCAGCTTGTGGTTGCAATGGCTACACTGCCATCTGGTGGTTTTAATACCACCCAGTGGATACAGAAACACCAGAACCAGTGAAATCAATACCATGTATCCATGGTTCTTCAGACTTACCTGGCTGCTCATCTTCCTCTTCCTCTTCCTTTGATGGCTTTTTTCTCATTAAGCTCCTCCTCAGTGACTAAAAGGAAAACATAAACACATAATTAACTAAGGTGAATTTATTTTGGTAACTATTTAGTTTGTGACAGCCTCAAGTAAGAGTTTGCAAAAAATATAAATTGCTGCAAAATTTGGTGAAAACACAGAAGTATGCCTTTTTTTCAGTAGCAGCAGGTTTGCAAAGAAACAAAATATTCATATTATTGTCTGTCCACTCAATGGAATGTGTTAAATACATGCACACTTTAATCTGTTTTCACATAATTAAATCTAATGTATAATATCTATTATAATGATACCTATCTCCAGGAATTTATATCATCAATAGTAGCAATATCTATTAAGCAAAAGACAACACAGTTAGTCACTGTATAATATCATAAAAAAATGCATCTGGCACCAACTATAATTATAGACACTTATTAGGTCCTCCTGCCTTTTGCTGACAAATTAAGTTAATTAACTGGCCATTACATGTCAAGAGCACATCAAGGCTCTATTTGAGTGAATCTCATAGGTAATAGCCAGGCTATTTAGTTTTCAGTTTCTTAAAATATACCTGTAGAGACTGTTTTGCTTAAGTATACCCCTCCATGTGAAAAGGGTCCTACTGAAAATCTGGGTAAATCATTATGTACACTAGCTATCAGGTGAATTTCATGAATCTGATGTATGTGGCAGGGATGAAAATAGTCATACAAAAGATGATGTGCAAATTTATAGTATGGCATAAACGCAGGATGTTGTACATAACATATGAAAAGGAAAAACATAAATTAGATAGCTGATCCTGTTTTATTATGTATCTTTTATTTTATCATCTGCCCATGTTTCCAGAATTTGCATATACACAAAGCGTGTAACCTGCACAAATTGACTTAAACAATAATTGTGATTCACAACAAAATGTAAAGATGATCTCATCTAAAATTTTTTCTTATCCTAGTGGTTACAGTGCATGTTTGCAAATGCTCACATTTCACTTTTTTCATAACTCACCCCAAGCCTTGTGGACCTCCCAACTTCTGGTTCTCCAGCCTCTTTCTCTGGCTGCTCGTCTTCCGTGGATTTTTCCACATCTTTTTCAGCTGCTGTCTGTGTTTTTTCAATGGTGCTGCTACTCCTCTTCAGGTTCTTGAATGCCTTTTTCCACATGCTTTTGATAGATCCAGCACTGTGCAAGGGCTTGCTTGCCTCTTTCTCTTCTTTGGCCTTGCTACTCATGTTTCCATTCTGTTTGGGTGACAACAGTTCAATCTGAAAACAGGTGAATATAAGGCACGGTATTAGACCTAGTGGTGAGAGATTAAGAAATTAATGCATCTGCATGCCAGCAACATCCTCATTTTGCTCCCTACATAGATAGGCAATGTGGTTTTAAGTGCATAAAAACAATTCGTTTGGCAAAAATTCTTAGAAAACTGATGGAATGCTTTTGCCCCAAATTATAATACACATGTACTACATGTGTTAGCTGCCAATATTACAGCACTGCACATAAACTGTAGCTGCTTTTATGATATTTCATAACAGAGCTTACAAATTACATCAATGAATATTCCACTACAGTAATAAGGGAAATTGTACCACATGTACAGGTACCTCAAAACAAAGTACTGAAAGTTAATTTTTTTTTCAACAGTGTCTTCACTGCTACAAGGTGTTGTAATTCAAATTTCACTGAATCAAAACCTATACAGCAGTTACTTTGAATTTCATTTGCCCCCTTTTTGTGATATATTTTTAAAAGATTAACCACTTTCAGATGATCAAAAAAAATGTTCTTTCTGACAAGCAGCCAACTAAATTTTCTCAACTTTTGAATTTTAAAGTTAAAAAAAGATTAAGGTTTTTCTAACAAAACAAGTTTTGTAGAAAATTATATTAATCCATGTTTGAATCTATTGAGTAAATACCATATATAACAGCTTTCCTGCAGTAAATAATAGCATGCATTGACCACCTTCTGGTGCATTTTTCTACAGGTACAGGTATAGGTATCTGGTCAACAAAACCCCTTGCTATTTTAGTATCCTGCTGATGCTCTCTCAAAATACCCAAAGAAATGAATTCTGACGCTTCCCCCACAGTTCCTGTACTTCTGTATCCTATTCCTACTCCACATTACTTGAGAGTTATGGATAGCCTGTAAATACGTATGTTCATTTCCTTTCCATTTCATTAGCCCAGGCTACAGACCTAGTTCCTAGCCTAGTTCCTTTTCATTAACCCAGACTACAGACCATACTGGTACACATCTTTATTCTACCATTAATGCTCCAGTAAATCTTCAAAAATGTATAAATTCTATGGAGAGAAGTCCCTATGGATATTAATAACCATGCTAAGAAAATGATTTTTTTCTTGGCCCAAGACCTATCTCCAAATGGAAATAACCACATTACATTACATAACAACATATGACGTTTGTCTTCCCATGCAGTAAATGACTGAGGACTTCACTTAACCTTACATTATCTAAAAATAAGTAGGTGAAGGTGACAGATCAGTTCAAGAAAGTACATTCAATGACAATGTATATAATTATAACCGGCAAACCAGCTATGATTGGTTTTATAAAAACTATTGTATAAACTTGCTGTTCAAATTATCTTTGCCGATTCAGGAACATCTTAAGAGCAAATTAACTAAGGCAACAAGTAGGGAAATGAACATAACCACAGAAAATTATACCTCATCCTTACAGGAAATTATAGGCTCACAACTAGTTTTATAAATGAGGTTCCTGTGATAGAGCTTAAAGTGTTTTCTAGAAATTCTAATTTTATCTCATGAAGCTAAAAATTATCACACAAGAAATTTCCTGTACTGTTACAATAGAAAATAAATTGCACAAAGTGAGAATGGTATATTCCATATGACCATGACATTTGATATACTCACATAAGATACTTATACAAATGATAACAGTCATCAAAGCACATTTTTTTCTCAATACTCAGTACCTCAAGATGACTTGGTCCTATCATCCTTGCTATTTGACCACTTCAATGACCACTACAAATGACCACTTCAGTGACCACTACAATGACCACTTCTCTCCAGCAAACTACTCTATCACTGATGTAAATGGCTATCTGACATTAACTCAAATCTCTAGATCCAGGAAGTTTATTCAGTTCAATTCTCAACATACCTGGAAGTCATGGAATGTCTTTACTGACTGAATATATATATATCTCATTATTTCAGTGCTTAGTGCAAAAATACTTTGCAATCTTTCTATTTTTCTTCAAGAACACTGCCTGAAATTATGACTCACTTGGATGAATCGATTTTACCAAGTTAACAAACAGGAAACACTGTGAAATCATTGACTGACTCTTAAGAAGTAATTTTACCTGTTCACAGATATCGCTAATCTATCTGGCTGTTTTTCACCTGATTGAATATCTTCTTAAACTCAGTCCACATGTTGACGACGACCTGTTTCTCATTACATTACTCAGATACTTTTTTCATTCCAATATGGTAGTCACAGGTGTGAAGAAGATCAAATTTCTGTGGAACAATATGACTCAAAACTATTCACCTTCTCACCTGCCCAGAGGGTATGTGGTTACAAGCAATTCCAGTGCTACCTTTACTACCTGCCTACCAAAACAAGAGGAGAAAAACTTACCCTGGAACTCACTTCATTGAGGTACTTTATATCAATGAAATTTCTACTGAAATTTTGTTAAATGTTCTGTTTAATGATACCTTTTCTTGATAACCACTGACATCAGAACTCAATATTTAAATTACTCTTTGGAGTATTCCCTAGAAATACTCAGAAAGTGAATGTTTCAAACATCTGCCATTTCATCTGAGACAGTGTAAATCGTACAACATGTATAATCAGAAAGCTATCCTTTGTCATGACTGATCCAATAACCTATCAATAATGTGGTCAATCAATCACATTAACATGACTGATGCGCTGTTCATGTTAAATCATACTTACAGCACTGAGGACCACATCGTGAAAGCTGTACCTGCGTCTTACAGGTCTTCTTCTTTGCCACTGGGGACAGGTATGCATGCTCGATGGATCTACACTCGGAGCCATATGATAAATATCTTTTTCCACTTAATCTAGCAAAATTTCTCAACGGGTCAATAGTATTCCGATTCTTAGTACAAAATCTGCCTTGCTTAGAATCATCAAAAATATTTCCTACAGCGTTGGTTGTTCTCGAAAATACTGATTGAATTTCCAAATGTACTCTGTTTTTGAGGCAATTTTGTTGTTTTTGTTCAATGTTTGAAAACAAATGGAGCAAACAACCACTGAAATTTCACTTCCAGGTCAATGCATGTGCCCGATTGGATGAAAAACATGTTAGTTAAAATCTGGAAAAACTCTTTCTTTTGCCACAAACAAAACGAAAGAGGCATATTTGCTTTATTCTTAGCAACTGCTCAACACATGCCACTTGAAATGTAAATTTTTCCTCTTAGAAATCAAAACTGTATACTTAATTTTTCTTTAGAAACAAACATTTTACCTGTATGGAAGTAAACTGTTTACATTGGTTATGTCTGTCTAGCCAATTTTAAACAGGTCAAACACCTTCTTTGCCAACTGGAACATGTTGCCAATTAGGCATTAGCTTTGAAGCTAGTTCAGAAAAGTTGAAATTTCAAAGTGTCACTGTCTTCACTAACAGTTTTTTCTGCTTAACTACACCACTGAGAGAAAAGAAATCTGTGAGTCCATGAACTGATGTCAAGGCATAAACCAGGAAGAGGTTTACATGTGTTCCCATCCATAATGAAGATGTTAATTGGCAATTAACTCTGCTTAGTCCCAGCCCCCCTCTCTCCCCCATCACACACATCTACATGTACAGAGTTTCTGGTGAAATACCAGTCAGTCAGCCTCTGATCTGAAAAGTTGTCTACCACAGGAAAATATATTAACATAGGTAATTAATGAACCACATTTTCTGGACAGCACAATTAATAAGTTGGGATTAACCTTCAGGTAAAAGAGGTTTACAACATGTATCTCTTGGTACTTATGCCATATGCGTTATCAGTGGTTAGCATTATGAAGAAACTTTCCAAATGTCAAAATAATCATGGACTTAATTATATCATCCAGGTTATCAATAACAGAAATCCAATTTAAAGAAAAATCTCTCTTAATCCTTATGACAACATGCCAAATACAAATGTTCATATAATTTGATGTATCAGATTCGAAAAATGTGCTCCCTTTGGGAACAAATGTGAAAGCGATTTAAACCTAATATAAAGCACTTCAAAGTGACAAGACTATCCAGAGGAAGCTAGAAAAAAAGATTTTATAAACTAAGAATCTGTATGATTTTAGAATACCTATATGAGGGAAATAAATATCCTGATGAAAAGGGAATGTAATAATGCATGTCCACTATTTGCAAAAGAATCTACAGCTCAGTAAAATATCATTTAGTGAAAATGAGGGCAATCTCTCAGAAATTAAAAAAAAAATCACATTCAAATTGCTGTACATGCTGGTCTGCTGTTTCCCCTCATAAGGACAGGCCAGCAGATCTATTACCAAGAGCACAGGTTAATGTTTGCCACTCAACATGGTGTTTATACCGGTCTGAGCCTCCATGCTCTTCCTCCCTCCCCATGATAACACTGTATGGGACCAAAAAAATGGCAAGAGGTTATTTTGGCAGCAAAATCTTGAAGGAGCTCTAATTTCACCTCCCTACTATATATATAACAAAGCATACAAAAAGATACAACCAAACAAAGAAAACTTTTTCGCTTACCTAGAGGCTAGCCAATTCTCCTGCTGTTGACTACCTCTATCCGATGTCTATCAGAGCCGACAGGCATTACTGTGCCTGTAAACTACCTGTGAGAATCCCAGTTACAACCTCCACCCCTGTACATCCAATTTGTTGTTACTAATAATACTGCATAATTGACGTACGACACACTTGCTCCCACAACTCATGGAAACTGCCAATTTTTGGGGGGCCAGAAGTGCCTCCTGCTTCTTTATTTATATGAAAACCACTTGTAAAACCTTTGCCATCGAAGATTCTTTATGTATGTCTATGCAATGAAACCATAAACTTACTTATTAATTTCCAAGAAAATACTATCATGATTCATGAAATATTCATTAAGTGGCCTGCATGTCATATGGATTATAAATGTTTTGGTCAGTGCTATTTGGTTGCAAGATCTACGTACCCTTCTGCAATGCAATTTTCAAAACAGATTTAAAAAAAAATAATAACATAATA